CACTCATAAAAAACCTATGTGTTTTGGCAACTCTCAATAGCTCATTCCTCAGTGATTGGAAATTGTCATTTTAGCAAACACAACTTTTTTTCAGTTGGGATTTTTGGGGAGGGGTGTGGGTCAGAACAGCAATGAGGAAATGCAAGAGGATTTCTGTTACGCTGCTTATGTGCGATGGTGGCCAGAAGCCTTCAGATGGGGCGAACCGAGAGACAGTGATGTTTTGAGTGAGCTTCCTGCCTGGCATCTCTGCCAGATCATATAGAGCCTGCACGGTATCTGCATAAACCAGCAGTCAAACTCAGGGTAGGATATTTGCACAAAAAGCAAAGTATACGATCTATATCACGACCGTGTCAGAGGCAGACAATCCTTCGCTGCAGCACAGAAGTCTGATCAAAATGCAGCCAGGATAGCTATATTTATCACAAGTGCAAAACTATTCAGACTGTGGTATCATACCACCACTTGTTCTGTGTGCGCATACGTTTCCCGGAACGCAAGTGTGTATCCCTCCAGCTGAAAAAATGCCATTCCCTCATCAACAGCAAAACTATGTAAAAGACATTGGAGGCATGGGTGAGAGAGAGAGGATGGGGGATGAATGCGCACACAAATATCTTCCAAAAAAGTTTACAATAGTAATGTGATATCTGTAAATTACTATGTCCAAAAGTATCACGGCCTCTGGATATATTCCATGAAAATATTGCAAGTCCCCTAAAAAACATTTTAAAAAATAAGAAACAAAAAGATTTGAGATTCTGCTATGCATCAGGCCTGGGATTTCTCATCTATTGATTTCTCACTTACTATTGGCTGTCCTGAGAGTCAGGCTAGATATAAGCAGCTTCAAATGATAAGCAATACAGGAAAAAAAAAAGTAAAAAACCAACCAAACAAAAAAGTCCTTTGCATTTCAGGGGAAGAGAAAGAGTATCTTGCTTCAGAAGTGCTTTTGCAGGTTCGATAAAGTGCCTGTTTGTGAATACTAGCAGCAATCATTTAGAAAATCTTTTTGCAGAAAAAAAAAATCAGGTGAGATAATACTAGTAGAAAAATCAATGTCATTTGACCACTGCCACATTTTTAAAGCAGTGCTCAGATACTAATTAATCTCTACAATCTCTTCATTTGGTAGGTGACTTGTTATCTCCCTTTCATGGAAAAAACTTAGAGAATTCAAGACAACGGGTACGTCTAAATGTTCAAAACTACACAGTGAGTTTGTTTCAGAATTATCAAAAGAATTTCCAGCCTTTTCTTGGACCAATAGCCCATGTTCTCTCCTCTTCTCTCCTTCATAAAAGCTTATCTAATTATGTATATACAAAGAGAAAGAAAGGGAGAAAGAATAATTCAATAGGGACAAAACTAAAAAAAAATCCTTATTAATATTATTATAAATAGGATTTGTAGTATTTCAGTTATTTTAACTTTGGAAGTAATAAGAGACTTCTGCACTATAAACTAAAATAGCAAAATTGTAAAAGTGAAATATAAAAATGCTGGGACTAAAGCTGAGTAGAGAGATGGAAGGACTAACATTAAATAAATAAATGCAACAGGCCTGCCTCTCTGCCTGATCACTTTAGAGCAGCTCCCAAGAGACTGAGGTAGAGTTTCTGTGCAAGGAGTTGGAAACAAGAATTGATGGTAGAACAATTTCTTTACAACCCTTTGAAGACTGAAGAGCCAAGACATGAGGGAAATAAGATCTAGGCCACCCATGAGATGCACCAACTTAATGGAATGCACAAGATGCCTCAAAATTGAGCCCAAGATTAAATTCTAAGTTGCCTTCCCCATCAAAAGAGATATGGAGAGGAACCAGAAGCGAAGCGAGCCATGCGTATCAAATGTGGAAAATCTTTCACCCAGTATCTGCGTATGTTGCTAGCCTCTAGAAATCAAATCGGCAAACTCAAGGTAAAGCATGAAAACACGCTGCAACACATAATTCAGAACAGGCTTGGCTTTTCCATGTGGAATTTTACTTTGCCTGATTGATACCAAGAATCTGAGACTAAACCTCTGGATGGATGCTTGCAATTCCACAGCAACTGAAAGCCACGCATTTGCGCCGGTCCACCCCAGCCACGTCAACGGGGATTCCCTCTGATGTGGGCTCATATACTGAGTGACAAACTTGGCCTTCCGATGCGGCCACATCAGTCACGGAGCGAGGCGATTACAGAAGCTTCAAAAGAGATCACGTATTCAACTCTCCTAATGAGAGTAAGAGTCACAGTAGTATTTTACAGAGGAAGGCATAAAGAGTTGATACCTGTGCTCCCCAAGGTTTTCGTTAGACAGGAAAATAAATGGCAAAAAAGAAAATTAAAAGAAAAAAAAACAACCAACCAGCATGCACTCAAGCAGATGATGCTGTTAAGTTTTCAAGACTCTACAGTTAAGACAAACTGGATCTCAAAGTTTGTTTCCTCACGTATTCTCAAGTTATTAAATACATTCGCACTATAAAAGTAGTTTGCTTGGGGATTTTTTCAATACATAGAATATCAGTATTCTGAATAATTGTGAGCAAGATTAATTAAGAAAATACAGTAAATTCTAAGAGAGCATGATGTTTCCCCGTTTTCCACACTCAGATGGGGCTTCATAGATGCCATGCATTGGGCACAGCAACTTAAATACTTTACAACAAATCCTTCCATACCTACACAAAATAGAGTACTGCTAAGGACAGTGACAGAAAATAACTACTCTCGTTTCCACTTTGAGTCATTTTTCTGTGGTTAATAAATTATATCCATAACAGTGTTAATAAGTTATGGCACAGCGTCACTGCATTAGTTTGCATTTGTGATGAAGCACTTCATAGGGCATTACCTCTGCCCATGGAAGTACCTAATAGGGGAGACCACTTCCCCGCTCTCGGAAGAATCTCCCATGCCGGCATTCTGATGGACCCTCTACGGAAACATTCCCTCTCAACCTCTGCCTTGCTCTGCTTCCCGCCGCTGTTGCAGCAGCATGCTACTGCCGGGCAATCTACAAACTTTAATATCGGTAATTAAACACAGTCACTCTTAAATCAGTGTTCCTTCCATAGGAGCGACATACAACGAATTATTAGATGGGTAAATAACGGTGAACATTCGGATCACTTTATAAGCATGTGAAAAGGACACTGAGATCAACACGCATCCTCCCCTCAAACTCCTGGAGGGAAATGGGAAGATTTAGATGACTGACAGGCTCTAGAACAACCGCTGTAACAGCTTGTTTTTCCAAAAGTATTTTAAGCTTAATGTGATTTGGTCTTTAAAGGAAAAAGAAAAGCAGAAGCTAGGTAAATTCTTGCAAGCCAACTACTGCAGCACCGGTGAACATCGAGATGACAAAAGTAATAAGCAAGCTTTTAACAACAGGAAGAAGCTCATGGCTTTAAGTATATTCCTTTACAAATAAAGAAGCACAAAACAGTAAAAAAAAAAAAAAAAAGCTCCAAATCAGAATTCTGTAATCTAGGGTTTTGGTCATCTCAAGCACTAACTTCAGGAGCTGTTACTAGGTAAGATGGTTTTGTCCATTAAAAATTTTATATAAAAATTCACTGTAGATTAAAAACTAATTATTGAATTGTCTCCAGTACCGTGATACAGTCCCTAGTGAAGTATTCCTTTCAAAAACTTTTCTCTGCTTCACCATTACATCACCTACATAAATACAGAAGCTGCTATGCAAAACACAGTGACCAAACAGAAATTAAATAATCCATCTCAATAGAATTCACTTGCTTTCCCATCAGTATCAAGCGAAAACTAGTACTATTGAATTAAACTGAGGAAAAATTCCAAATTGTCTGCAGCCTTCATAAACCAGCAGTGCAAAAGCTCACATGCTTTTACAGTAGGTAAAATATTACTGGGATGGTTTTCAACCAGTGCAGATAATTTTGATTATTTCCACTTCAAAACTTCCTATATTGGAGCCACATCACTGAAAACAATCTAACCACGGCAGGGGGGGAGAAAAAGTGATGGGAAAACAGCCTGCTAATATATCCACTGGAAAGATACACAGAGAGTAGTCCTCTATAGATGGACCAAAGTCTGTCAGAGACAAAGACTCTAATATTCCGAACAAGAGAAATAAAATCCCTGTAAAAATACCTTGACTTCCTTAATTTCCTTTTTCCCTCCCTACCACAACCAGAATAATTTATTTGTATATTGAATTTGTCTCCACTGCAAAAAACACATTTTCCACATCTCCACCACAACAAAACACATTTTAAAATTTAAAAGGTAAAAATAAATACACTACAGCATCGTTGGACGCCGTACTGCACAGAAAAAGAAGTTGCGCCTTTACAGTAATTTGACAAAAGAATGACAAAAAGAATGGCAAAACAGAAAAATACGACTGAGGCTTGAGGAAAGCATCAGTTCAATATTTAGCAATGCATAAATTTAGGTTTCATTTTTGCTTAGGTATATTTTGATTAGAACTAATAAATAACTGATTTTCCCTTGGTTGTTTGCGACAACAACACATCATCCAAAGAGCTTTATTCTTTATTCCCTTCTCATATATCATGCCAAAGACTGTCTCAGTTTATGAATTAGCATTTAAAACTACTGCAGGTTATCTAACAAGCATTCAGATTCAATAGTACTTTTGACAGCAGTAAGTAAAGAGCCTTTTAATATCTCGAACGCATGTGCTTGAAAAAAGTAGTTGCATCAAAGCAGTTCAAAGACTGAAGACAAAAACCAGTTAAAATCCAGTTTGCTGTGAGACAATTTTAGTGTGGTGTAAACAACCTTTCACAACTCCCCATGGGAAATGTTTTAAGTCTACATTCAAAATGAATCAGGCATATTTATAAAGATCATGAAGTGGTCAAACGAATTTGCATTTTTGGCAGATTCACTCCACGGGTACCACTTGCTACAGCCTGTAGAAATCTCAAATCTCACATCAGCATTGCCTATAGTGCTTTATTATTTATTACATGTTATGCTAAGTACCTGCGAAAGGGGACATTCCTTGGCCAATGAACTCTGGTTCATATCCTTCAGTAAGTCCTTCAGAGCATTTCTTACTGTTGTGTGAGACCATTGTTCAGGAGGCAAGTCTTCTAGTTTAGGGCAACTATTTGAAACACAGATTAGAAAAGGGATTATTACAAGATTGCATCCTGCTGCAGAACATTCCTTTAAGACAGACAGATTTCATTTCGCGCATCAAGCAGATGCATCTGGAGATTGCTCTCGGTCTCCTGATTGTTCCGATTAGTTAATTACTTTATACAACACATCTGCTGTATTGATGCATGAATTATACATCAGCTGCATGTGGCGACTATTTTTTCATGTTACTTCTACCTTCCTGCTCTGATGCACTTGGTAAAACAATTTAAGGTGTAATGCTTTCTCACGACTGATCATGAAAAGCATTAATATATTAACCGTTTTTTTCTTTTTTGTTACCGTGAAATTTAAGAACCTAGACAGCAAGAGTAAGTGTGAGCAAGCCATTCTTTCACAAAATGCACACAGATGGTATTGTTCATGATATGCAAAAATATTTTTCTCTTAAGTAAACTTTATGTAAAACGCCTTCTTGTAATGCATCATTTAATTGACTAAAATGCAATATAGTTTTAATGAGATATCCAAAGAAAATCTATATATCAGAGCTATAAAAGTTTTCTGCAGTAGTATACCGTAAGTTAAAGAAGAATTAGAGTAACTAAAAAGGTATTTAGATAAGCCTTTGTACTTTGAGCACACGGCACAGAGGGAACTAAATACAGGCAATATTAACAGTGAGAGCAGACAAGTAACAGTTCACGTCCCAGAACTGGTATGCAACTTACCTGTGTAACTGGATTTTCAGTGTGACCACATGATACACATCTTGCAGCATGTCTGCTACTGTAGCATCAGGGGCATCTGTCACATAGGAGAGTGGAACTGGATTCCACTTCCCAACCTGGATAAGCCCTGCAGGATTTTTATTTTTTCAGGAGAGGGGGAGTGGGTAAGAAGGACAGGAGAAATTGGGGAGAAAAAAAAAAAAAAAAGTAATTTACCTCTTAGTTCCTAGGGGCAAAAGGAATAATTCAATTTTAACACGATCACCACCTTTTTTTTTTTTTTAGCCTTTTAAATCTGGCAAAAAAAAGAACAGCCCCCCGCTAAACCCCCACCTACACACCACCAAGGATATTTTTTATCTATATTATGAAATTATACAAATGCATTTGAGATTTTTTAATATGTCTAGGAGTGTATTAAGTTCTCATGAATTCAGTAGGATATGATATAATAGGGAGCACTCTTATTAATACATTAGAAAGCATTTTACAATGCAAGGACTGAGTACAAAAAAATAAAAAAATACTTTGCAGTCTATAAAACCATCAGGAACAAAATAAAAGAAACAGAGCTGGATATTTAGTCATAAATGCAAGTTGACTCTCAACAGTCCATCTGCTCAAATATGCTTTACACTTCCTTGTGGATCCTCAGTGGAGCAGATTATTAAGGTCAATAAGCATACTAATGATTCAGTTGAAGTCTTTTTTTTTTTTCTTTAAACAAAAAAAAAAGATCCTACCTCCACATTCCCCACAAACAAAACATGCACTAACTAAACAAAAACACATTAAAAAAATATACAGATACAAAATCTGCAAGAAGTTTAAGTAAAACCTGCATCACATTCCTAAAAGAAATCCTGCCCCTCCCCCAAGACCTCACAAACATAATTCATTGTACAATTTCGTAATCTTATTTACCTTTTGCTTGGGCAGCAGAGCTGTGAGAATATCCAAGTGATAGCAATGCCATTTCAATCAGTTGGTTGAAAAGCATATCCTTCCTCACCAACACAAATTCTGCATGCTCCTCCTTAGAATCATACTCAATGGCATTTTCATAATGTTCCACTACACAGAAAACTGGAAGCATACTTCCTATTAAAAAAAAAATAAATTTAACATATAAAACTTGAGTTATAGTAGAGTAGGTGGGTCTATACAGCGTTATGTAAATAAAACCTGTACGAACAGGCAGAGGAGGCATCAAGAATCATCACAAATATTTGATAAACGTATTCCCTGAGTCCTTTCCCCTCACCCTCCCCCCCAAAAGAGAATGTTCTACAAAACATACATCTCTCTGAAAAGCAAAAATGCAAATTTATCTCGCTTGACGAGATACAGATTAAAGAATTACCTTCTATAGAAATAACAAGGTTGACTGAAGAGAAGTTGATTCTCTCTGTCCTGCCTGATTTGTTGTGAGTAGCAGGCAGCACAAGAACCTAAATACATACTGCAGATGTCTTCACTGTAAGCCATTTTAGTACCAGAGACATAATTTTGTTCGTTAACATTAAAACTTTCTTAGTCCTGCCAAAAATATTTAATTGCCTTCAACAGCAACAACAAATCACCTTGTGTGTTATACATTCGCTCTGAAAAGAGTACACAAGGAAACAAGGCAAAAGTTAACACTAATTCGTGCTTCATTCACTGAGTGCACTTGAGCACTACTTTCACTTGCATCTTTAAGAAACAAATCATGATTTCAATGCCGTTTTAAGAAGTGTACCTGCAGTTTGGGGTTGGTTTTTTGCTGCTGCTGTTGTTGCCTCCTGCACTTTACGTTCCACATTGCCGGTATTCATTGCTATTTTGGTATGCCTGAAAGTAATTACTAACTTCCAGTTTTGTAGCATCATATGACAAATGCTTCCCTACGCTGCACAGAATATTCAGCAAATAACCTTTTTCCTTTCCTTTTTTTTTTTTTCCCCCCTCTTTTCTCATTTTTTTTCCCCTCCCTTTTGACAACAGACAGAGAAGTAACAAATGACCCAAGCTGTTTTAGGGACAAAGTCTTTCCTGGCAATCAGATCCCTAGACTTTGTCAAAATCCCTCCCGGCCTCCCAGAAAGGCACAGGTGACACCATGACCCAGGACCCGCAGTTTCAGGCCCCGGTCCTGTCCCACTGCCTCGAGCAGTATAGGTTAGGATCTCTTAATGACAGAAAGCAAAAGGGTTAAAAGCAGATGTACAGAACTGTCTTATGGCAGCCTGCCAAAGGGGTATCATCTTTAGCATAAATGATGACACGGGTTATTTTAACAGGGCACCCAGGAACTCCAATTAGTCCTACAATGTTAATGCCTCTGCAACCACTGCCCTCTAGACTTACAGAAGCCTCCTAACCTGCTAAGGTGCACCAGGCACGCTGCAGTCTAAAAAGATTTACTCTTGACAATAGATAAACGCTTTAAGACCACGTCTGTTGATTTGTGCTCTAACGTATAGCAAGAAATAACGATAAAAAAAGATCTCTCTTAAGCACGTATATTGAAACTACATCTGTTCACCAGAGAGTCAATCTCTGGCAAACAAACCCCTCCAGGCTTGCTTGGAAAAGCTCACAAACTCACTCCAGTTTGCCCAATAGGCTCAGCATGAAGGACAAGACTAAAAGCTTGCCAATATTTATGTAGTGCAGGAAGTAGCGCTTTTTTTTTTTTTGGTCTTTTTTTGTGTCCTTTTTTTAAATAAAAAATCTAAGTGGGACTGGTCAGGAAGGGAGAGAAGACCAAAGCAAAAGCAGCACATGCAAATCGGTGATTTCTTCACTAGTTTTAATTAAGCTGTGGAGAGCTTTCTAAAGCACACACACACACGCTTCATCTGCAAAAAGGTGGTGGTTTGTTTTGGGTTAGTTTTTTTTCCCCTTCCAGGCTCTTACAATTGATGTTTGACCTACTACATCTGACTCAGAGCAAGGGCTCAAAATTCTTAAGTACTTTCACCATCAATACCTGAAGATAAAATGTAAACAAAGCTCCATCTTCATAAACAGTGCAGATGCACTCAACGACAGCTACGGCACATTTGTTTTTCACTTTATCTGTTCGTATGAATTAAGCTATGAGCAGGCATAAAACTAGCAACACACAGGTACTTTGCTGCACAGCAGCGCGCTTTTCCGCCAGGTACCTGGTCTCGTGAGCTGCAGCATTCTGGAAAACGCAGTACTTTAAACAACACAGGAGAACCTCCTGGCCAAATTCTGATGCACGGCATAGATTATCAGAGGTGGATCCTGGTAGTGCGACACAGGTATCATCTGACTACAAATCAAGCCACTAAATCTTTTAGCAAACTGTCACTACTGTCCTTCTGCTAATGTGAAAAATGTTATACAGGAGAGCACAATCTCAGCTGGCTGATCACTCCTGCTAGTACTTGGCAAGACCTCCAAGTGCAGCAACTTCATAACCTTCTAGTATTAAAGGGGAGAGCATTGGTCAGTGCTCACTGCTAAAAATACAGCATGATTTAAACCTGAAGGCAGTGTTAGAGCTTTTGCTGAAGGTTTACGAGTCTGTGTAAACAGCACGTCTGCCATAAGCAGCAACGAAGTCTGTAGAATCCTTGTCTAAAACTGTCCTGGCATTAAAGTTTGCTGTGCAAATATCACATAATACCAGAGACAGCTGAAATCTCCTATTTAGGAATTTATGGAACTTATATGTTTGCAGGCGTCAGAAAGTCCTTTTTATATAGCCCCACCGCTTCACTGTACAATATTAATGCACTCTGCTTGAAAAGCCGTAATAAATTATATTTTTAATGCTCTTACCCTGGCTTTCTTAAGATGCATACATTCTTGGCAAACAATCAATAAATAGGGTAATCATGAGCAGAGGCCAAAGAATTTGCTGAAGTGCTGTTTTTCCATTTTTAATAGATAAAGATCTAACAATACGGACTGCTGTGTCTGTTCATTTCAGGATCAATATATTCTTTGTTTTCGCCAAACCGAGGAAAAAATAAATGATTGTACGATAAATGTTATGCATCAGACACAATGAAATTCCTCTGCCTTCTAACTTTGTGCGTTTAATAGTCTTGGTTGCATTTTGCACTTTGCTTAGCAAATGCATGAAAAATCTGGGTTATAAACATACACCGATTATACCAAGAAAAGTAGAGGCTCTTTTAAAACAGGTGCCAAATTACATGCAGCATATTTTGATTTAAATTAGCAAGCCTGCAGGACATGGTCAAAAAGACTTACAACATTTTAATAAGCAAAATTTATAAATTATTGTCCATTAAAAGTATTTTCCCTGCAAACAAAAGCCATCCATACAAAAACATCAATGATTCTAAATGTGCCTTTTCCTTGTGTAAATGTCTAATTACAGCAAACCAGCCACTGAAAAATATGACACCCAAGTTGTTCATTGTTCAATAATGAATTGTACTTAAGAAAATAAACTGCGAAGATTGACATCATAAATGACTTTTCCAATGTGATACCTAAAGATTTACACTCTCGCCTTTACAACAACTTGCAACTGTTCTGGAAATACTGCTGCCCTTCCAAGCTTGGACCATCATTAAGAGGAAAGGTGAGAATTTGGTTTGGGGGTTCGGTACTTACTCTTACAGATTTTGGCATTTCTTAGCCCAACGCTTACTCAAAGAACTAATGCATTATATTACTTCTATTTCAACTTAGGAATTTGCTTGAATAAGGGCAGCTAGCCTTTACCTTAACAAAAATCAGACTCCACCCTGTAAAGCAAGATGCTCCACCCAAGCATGAAGCTAACATTTCCCAAATGTGATTTATATCAGAGTTGGGAATATATAGTATTTTAGAATGGAGATTTAATCCTGAAATATAAATGAAGCAGAGTCTGCGAAAGTATACTTTCCCCCCCAAATATTACAAATCAAATTTCTCTAATGTAGAATTATCAAAAGTGTTACCTTTTCTAATATTAGTTTTCATCAGGTGTCCAGAGTGTTTTAAAGGCACTCCTTGCATTTTAGCTCCTGTACTTCCAAGTCTTCCTCTTCCTAATGGGCTCCCATTCTGTTCCAAGCGCGCAATTTTGGCTGGTGGACCCTTCGGATCGCTTACATTGTTAGACATTTCTGAATGTTCTTTCCCCTGAGTTGCCTCGTTCAAATGATCCATACTCAGTCCCGCCTCTAAAGATCACCTGCCATGATTCAAAAAAAAAAAAAATATATATGTTGTACACGTGTGCGCATATGTATACGTACACAGCCTGCACATGTACAGAGAGAGATATATATCTATCGTAAGCTCATAAAGCATAATAAATAACTATTTTGACTGGAAAGAAGATGTCTTTTTTAAAAGAAACAAACTTAATTCTCCAAAAATGACCTCATACCCCATTTTACAGAATGATCGCATCATAATCTGATGGAATTATTTTTTTTAAAGTCAACTAGAGTATCCCTTCAAAAAAATCTTTAGAGATATTCTACTAAATCTGAGAGAGACTAATACAAATTATTATGATTGTCAAGGTATGTGCTCCAACAGATCTATTGTTACAAATTTCGCATAAAGGTTTGTTATTAATCCCGGGTGTTTTTATTGTGTTACGCGAGAAACAGAGAAAGAAAAAGAAAAAGGTTCTAGTGAAACATTTCTTAATCTACTTGATTAGAAAAAACGGATGCACAACAATAGAGAGATTGTTAAAACTTTAGTTGAGGGAGCAACAGATTTATTAGAGACATAGAATATTGTCCATTTACAATCCCTCTTCCCATTAAAAATAAAAGTCAGAAGAGAATTTAACATTTAACTTCAGAAAGCCATGGTGGGAGACAGTTGCTTTTGAGTTTCCCAACAAATATTACATAAAGAGTTTATCAACTTCTGCAAAGTTCAAAAATGAATATGATTTTTTTTTCTGCTGATAAGTTAAAGTGTTAAAAGGAGTAGTTTATTCAATTAAGAAAAATAACTGAGAAGGTAACAACTCACAGAATATAATGCCAGAAAAAAACCCACACAATTTCTACAGTACTTTTGAAGCTCTTAAATATAAAAAAAAAATCCAAAACCGGAATGATGCTAAGTTACATGCTGGCACAGCTATGTGAAACCAAAAAAAAAAACCAAACAAAAAAAACCCAGAAGCAATTTCAAAAGCAAAACAAGACAAGGTGTATGATAGCATGCTTATATTTCCCTTTTTATAAACTTTTGCGACCTCTGTTCATGAACAACAATTTCAGTTAAACAACTATAGATCTCCCAAGCCTAGAATGTAACGGAGTAAGTTTTGAGGATTTTTGTCACTCAGCAGAATCTGTTTTGTGAACTTTACTAAAAAAAAAACCAAACAAAAAAAAAAAAACCACCAGTTTCTGAGAACAGAGATCTTTCTGGCTATGGTTTCATTCATCAATACTGTTGTGATTGTTAGGTATTTTTACCCTACCTTTCTCTGAATGAGAAAGGTGTGACTATGCTGACAATTATGTTATGTATATAATATAATCACTAAGGACAGGTGAGCAGACATTAATTTATGAACTAGTATTTACATTAGCAAGTACAAATACTAATACTGGGGAAATTATGTTTAGAAATACTGGTGTGAATCGGGTAATTGCTACTTTCTTCCAGTTGCCTGGTAATTCAATACATTTTCTGCACATTTCATAGCAAAGCTATTAAAGCCTAAACATCTTGGGATTTTTTTACATACTTCTATGTCATTGGTATATATGTCAATGACAATCCTGTAAACTATTTTTTTCATGTTTGAACACCACACTGCTTTTCCCGACATAGTGAAGAGAGACGCAATATATTAATCTGAACATTTACCAGCAACCTCAAGAATGCCACTGAATAGCCGAACTTCAGAAAATCATTATTTCTCCTTATGCCGTAAGGTGACAGGCTAAGGTTTACCATTCATTTTGATCACATCTGTTTTAGGTCTTGTGTCTCATTAACACAAACATGTCTATTTTAGCCACTTTTTGAAAGGATTTCATATATATATATATATACACACTGTGTTAACTGCAGCCTAAGCAAAGAATTACAGCCTCAAACCGTTAACACTGATGTTTCTGACGATGCTAGCATACTACAGGGCTGCTCTTCTGAGACTGGTCTCTCTCAAGAATAAGAGGATTAACAAAAAAGGAAAAGAGGGGGAGAGAGTAAAACAAAACAAAACAAAAAGCCTCTAACAAGAAAATCCTTGTCACTTTTGGCAACTTCAGAAGTACTCTAAGGCACCAAGACTCTTCGCTACAAAAAAGTATCTAGTCATCATGAGTCAGAATCGCACTACATCATGTACAGTGAATAAAAGTGATAGATCGTAGTTTAGTTAATACACTGACTACAACCAAAACACCAAATGGGTCATTTTCCCTTGGCCTGAGAATACCCACCCATCAGCACCCTTTCACCGCTTAGTCATCTTGTAAAAAGCTTTATGTTACAAAGCAAAATTACATGCACATAAAACACCTAATTTACTCATTTAAACTCCATGCCCAAGGCTAAAGTTCACTGAAACCTCAGCTTGGAATAGTGATGAGCAACAACCAGCGTGGCCTGCCCAGGGAGAGGGTTGCAGAGAAGAACTATCGTCCCCGCCGCTTCCAGGCCAAGAGTTTCCCCGGGTTTCGCATTTAGGCATCTTTCACAACTACAAGTTTTCATCACAGGCACCGAGAGAAGAGCACAATTTCAAGGCACAGTTTCCCAGAGACAGCGCACACGTACGGGCACACCGCGCAATTTCTGAATGAGAGTCGGTGCGGTATCTCCTTTTGTCGCGATGTAACGCTGCCGGTATTATATTATTTCTTCCTCTCCTCCTGAATCAGCCCCCTCCCCATGCCTTTCCCCTCCTCTTCCCTCCCTCCCCCATAAAAACCCATAATCACATTTGAGAGAGGCTCCGCACTTATCCGTTCCATATGGCTCTCACAATCCAGGCCAAGCTTTCCCTGTGACCTTTTAAAGAGACAAAGAAGCAAAGTACTTATCTAGAAACAGAAACACTGCAGTTTTCTGAGTGAAATTAGCAAAACCGACCCGAAACTCACCACTTCAAAACTTGACAGCATATAAATAACAAAAACAAAGGAGGTTTCCTTTGCAGCCCGAGCTCTTGAAGAGGAAGAAGTTCAAGACTGATGTTTTCTAGGTTCCCCCCCTTTTTAGAGGGGGGGAGGGGGGGGGGGGGGGGCAGCAGACCTGAGGACTACTTCCCCTAATATTCTCTTATTTTTTCTTTCTTTTTCTTTTTTTTTCTTGTTGCTATTTTCCTCTAGGCGGGGAGGGGCAAAAATAGATAGCGAGAAACGGAGTAGCCATGAGCAAAAATGGCAATGGACAAAAAAATACAGATTAAATATCTTTTGAGAGAGCCAGTTTTCGAGGTTTAGCAACGGAAGAAGGAGCCGAAGATCAAATTGATCAGACAAGTGTAACGCTCAAAAGGAGGAATTAATAATAACAATAATAATAATAAAAAACAAAGTAGCAGGCTGAAATTGAGGTGGAGGGTGACTAAAGTCTAGCTATCCTTTCAAAAATAAAACCAATGCGTACAGAAGCAAGTGAGAAAGGGGGTTATCTAAAACAAAAAAAAAAGAGAGAGAAAAAAAAAAAGGCAGCTTTTCTATCCAGTGTGAAGAGCAGAAAGTCTACTTCTAGGTTGTCACTTACACTATTATTCTCCAATAGGCACCCAGAGGAGCAGCACACACAGAAGGAGCCCGCTCCCCTCCCCCTCCGCAAAAATACACACCGTAACAGCCCCCAAACTTTCTGCGGAAACCTCAGCCCCAGAGATCGCTACTGGAGATTAAAAAAAAAAGAAAAAAAAAAAAAGGTGTAGAGAAAATTGCAGGAAAATGTTAAGATTTTCTAAGTTATTCGGGAGAAATCAGGAGTCCATCCCTAAAACCTCACCTCTGGGATGTAAAAAAAAGCAGAGAGGACCTGTCTTCTCTCATTTACCGGGGGCTGTTGTGCGAGTGAGGGGGGAGAGGGAGCGAGAGGAGAGAGAAAAAGAACAGACGGGAGGAAGGAAACACACACAACAAGGCACACCACCACCACTACAAAAAGTGACGAGGTTTCACTCCCTCTGAGTCCAAAACCGGCAGAAATTATAATTAAAAAAAATAAAAAGCAACCCTCTCTGTTAAAAAAAACAAAAAAAAACCAAAAAAAAAAAACCCAAAAAAACAACCTGGTTCTGCTTCTGCAACAACAAAAAAATCCAAAAAAAAAAATAATCTGGGAACTCCGAGAAGAGTTACTCGCAAGAAGGGGTAAAAAATATAAAATAGGAAGGTTGCGAAAAGCCAACAACAACAAAAACCAAGCCAGAAAAAAAAATAAACAATAATAATTGAAAAACAACAATAATGGTAGGCTTTGGGTTTTTGTCCTTTTTTTTTTTTTAATTCTCGTTTCCCCTGTCTGGCTCAGTACGGTTGTTATTTAGGCCGGTTTGGTGGTTGTTGCTGGATGTTACATGGATAGATATATGTGTGTGTGTGTGTGTGTCCCCGGACGGAGCTGCCTTGCTCTGCTCTCCTCTTCCCCCCCCACTCCTCCT